TCATTAAATAAAATAAGATAAATTTTATAATAATAAACTTCGAAAACAATCTCGAAGTTTATTCTCAATGGGGGAGGTGTTACATCTAGAAAATGTTCCTGTAACTGCTGTGCCAACGATTTCCAGCTGACACAGCATTTTCAGGGCTTTGTGCATCGAGGACTGCCTCTCGCGAGTCAGTCTGCCACATCCCGCCGGTTCGGTCAGTCGCATCCACGGACTATTAACCCAGTATAGTTTTAGGGCTAAATAAATATTATTTTTTAAAAAGACTCTTTAAATCCTCAACCTAACAGTACGTTCGCTGTTAGAGTAAGCGGCTCCAATATTGTCAATTATTATAATATTTACATTAATTGCATAGACGGTATACAAGAGAAATAAGTTCAGCACCTAAAGCAAAAAGTTGATATCACGTAATTATACGTTGAGATCTGCCGTGCTTACAACCTACTGACACTTCATGATCGGCGTCAAGTTCTAGATATGGGTCTGTATGACATTATTCGTCGTCTTGACTGTCCGGAGCTTCTCAAACTTATTTCCTTTAGTTCTCTCCCACGTCGTAGTAGGTCCAAACACTTGTTTCATATTCCGTTGCATTGCACCAATTATTAGGTCAAAACTCTGTACTCTCTAGGTTACATACTTATCCATATATTTTATTAAATGTTATTTTAACAAACCAACAATCAAACGCTTTCCCTTGAGTCAATTTGAATATTAATGTTTGCTTTTAGCCGTAATAACCCTAATTGGAATTTAGATTGTAATAATAAAAATTGTAATATTACTTTGTAGTGAGCTGTGCACTATCCTTTCAAATAAAATAAAATTAAAAAAAGAACACCGGGCAATTGGGAGCTCGGAAGTAGGAAAATAAGTTGAATCAATAAGTAATATCAATAACTATGAATGAGCAACCAATCATCGCATCCTTTCGGGTTATCCTGATGCCTCACCGTCACTTCGTGCCATCTTTAAAATCAAGTGATGTCAGAAGAGTTAAAAACTGGCAAGCAAATATCAAAAGAGTATTAATTGTTGAGGATGCAAAATACTTGTGGAGGGGATGTTCCTTGTGCGTTCGTCATCTTTGCCTATACCGTAACGGATACGGCATAATAGATAAATAGTAAGATGGAGTCATTTATACCACAATTCATGTATAGGTATAGACAAATAATTTATATGTGTCAAATATTGAAAAAAAAAATACAGAAATATCTCTGTTCTACAAGTGTTTAATCTGTGAGAATGAGTATGCCTACCAAGGCCTACGGATCAGTGTGTATTTGACCCATTATATGTCAGTCATTACTCCTTTACAGGGCTGTCAAATTAGTTTATTTTTAAACCGACTTGGGACGTTTTTCATATTACTCATCCTATTTAATATTATAAATGTGAAAGTTTCTTTGTTTGGATGTTTGTACGTCAATCACGCCGAAACTATTGAATGGATTTTGATGAAATTTGGTATACAGATAGGGTGTTAGCTGACTTAGATAATATGATACTTTTTATCCCACTAAACATTTCCCTAGGGTCCACGCGGGCGAAGCCGCTGGCGAAAGCTAGTATAAAATGAGTATATAATATGAAACAGCTAATTGTTTTTTGTGAATTCAGTGTTGCTCCCATAGTAAAAGTTGTTCAGTATACTTAACTAATCCACCCCATGAAGTCTTGACATATAATAATATTATAATTAAGGTTGAACTTTTGTCAATCAGTTTTTAACCAAGTTTTGATTACTTTATTATATATTCATACTTTTTATTTTTTATAACGTTAAGCAAAGTTATGTCTAGAAGCAAACGTCAAAAATTTTTTTGTTAAAAATGTTGTTAAAATCTATGCTTTAAGACTTTTTTATCCAAGAAAATACCTATAATACACAAAGAGTGCGAAACTAATCATTCAAACTATCGTAGGGCTAGTCAAAGAGCACACTGACTGGACCTGGAACACTGATTCTGGAACGAACCTCCATGTCGGATTGTCGGTGTAAGCTCCTTGTAAGGGCTTTTCAATATTATACGTACGTACCAAGTTTTGCACTGGTTCAACTCATATTAAATATTTAAGAATTCGACAACCCTTGTTAATTTTACAGAGGATTTCCTAGCGGATATAACAGACGGAACTAGCATCCACAAGGCGACATAATAAGTTATTTATAGTTGTCTTGCTTATCATATTAACTAACACTTTACACTGACTTTACATTAATATTTTTATTATATTTATTTTGGTATTGTTATGTACCAAATATAGGAGGCTCGTGTGTTTTTAAAGCTAAACCAACAAAGGTACCGCAAAACCCAGACCCGAGACAATATAGGTAATTTCATTTTCTATATTGCTATGATCCGAAATCGAACCACAGATCTCAGAAATTACTGCGTAAGCTCTTAGTTCTATGCATTTAGAAACTTTACCAACGACGTATATTAGTTAATCTACATAAAAAAGCTCGTTATGCGTTCAATCCATAAAATTCATCGGTATCAATTCAGCAGTTCAAACTTGGTTAAAGGAAATTAAAAAAATTACAAACAAACATCATACAAAACTTGTAGTGTTCATATGCAATTTGTGTTGAGCAACATTGTCCTACTTTGTAAGCATTAATAGGAAACAGAAAAAGGTTATTGTATTTCCTAAGAATATCATATAATTTATAGATATGAGTTTAAGTTCCTTATCAAGTAGATTGTGCTATTGAATTTGATCAATTTTGCATAATAATTAGAACAAATGTGAACTGAAACTTTTTTTTTCTCTTAATATGTGTTCTGAGAACAATTTTCAGGTTATATGGTGATATTCCCTTTGTGTAATGCATTAAATGAATTACCATTTCCATGTCTATAAATTATTGAAATAAGGATGTTTGTCAAAAAACACTTCCATTTATTTAAACAAAATAAAAATTTTGCACGTAGAGGTCGAAACGGAGAAAATTTATTTACTTTATGCCTATATTAAAAGAAAGCTTATGCCTGTTTAGGAGTCGCTTTAATCTGTCGCTTAAATATTTAGGAATTGTATAAGAGAAAAATGCAATTTACCAATGACTAGGAATTACCTAACGACATGTATGCAAAGTCTAAGTCATGATATGCGTTATGCGATGCTTTACGTTAGTTATTTCCGTAATATGACAAATTACAAATGTGTCACGGGATGAAAGAGAAAAATGTTTATTTGGAATTAAACTAATCTGCTTAGGCGCTTCGCAAAATTTGGCGTCTCCTAGTTAAACTATGCCCTATTCTAGGTTAGCGAAAACCTAGAACAAGGCAAAGTAATACATTACCAAACGATATTAAAAGTATTAATAATGTTATTAAGCTTAGATCTTATTTATTTAAATATTTAATGAATAAAACTTATTATTTGAATAATTAATTCTTGCTAGATAAATCTCATTCTTAATTATTGTATGAATCCTTTGGTTATAATATGAACCTATTGTATCTTATATAACTAAGATTTAACAAGCGCTGTTTTTTTAAGTTTTTTTTTAGAATTATTTAAAAAAAAAAAATTATATAAAGTCAGACAATTAATTGGATTCTGACTTAAATATTTGCACATCGTCTTGACTATAAAATATGCTGGTCTAAATTATTCAACTGTCCATATTTTGCAAATAAAAATTATTATTCAGCTCTTTTAAGTAGATTGGGTCCTCCTTGTCTGGATACTTTCCCCCACGCGAGGCTACTCCACAGCCATTATCGGATTAGTCCACAGCAAAAAACGTCTAGGGCACCAGAAGAGCCCCAAAAAGATAAATCAGCAGTAAAAGGTAAGGTTTTTAGGGACGGAAGCCTAAAAACCTTTCTTTTTACTGCTGATTTTTTACCTCGAAAGGAAAAGGCGGAATCCTTAAAGGATCAGCTTGTTGTCCGTCCGTCGGGCCGTCTGTTAAGACCCTTTATCTAAGGAACGCGTATCAAACTGAAATTTATATCAAATACGCAGGTCTACTGTCTCTTGGAGCTGTGATAAAATCGAACTTCTAAGCAACCCAATTAAAATTGAATTATGAATTAGATATCTTTCCGAGACCTCAGAGTAGTAAAAAGTTTTTGATTTATTAGTCAAAAGATTTTTTCTTTGTAATGTTTCACTGTGAAATTAAGAAAAAAAGAGATAAATATACTCGACGATGAGATAACGTATCAGTTGAGATAAAACGCAATTATTTGTTTTAGCTTCTTATTCAGATGTTAAGGTTAATATACACTGATATGTGCTGAGCATAGAAGTTTAATAAGTAAACGAGTATGTTGTGTAGACTATCGATAATAGGCCAAACGATTTTTTTTTATGTTTCCTGATCATTCAAATCATTATTCATTCCAAAAGTGATAGGGACTTGAAAAGTTATGTAACTCCATAAATCGCTATACTTTTGAAAAGGATCAGCATTTGCAATAGATTTTGAAATAAGACAATCAGGCCGTATGTAATAAAACCTTGATGTCCAAACTTATAATGGAATTTTAATTAATTAGAAGGTTATAAATAGTAGTAGTCTACACAATCTACACAATCTGATGTATATTCCCTTGTCAGAAGCCGTCAGGTATTAATAGTTAGATGATTTCGATGTAAAGCTATGCCACCGATTTGCTTATCTATGGCGGGAGAAATTGTACTGAGGAGGACCGAACAAGAAATTCGACAACAACTGCTTTTTTCTCGATTTTTGAAAAATAACTTAATTACACTTTGATCTTGTAATATTAAGAATGTTTTTCCTTTAACTTCCAAATTAAATCCGAATATCTTTAAAGCATAAAGTATATGTAATTTCAGTACGCCTCTGTGTGAATGTTCCGTGTAAATAAACCTTTAGTTAGTGTTACGGTTAAATAAGTAGCTTTAAAATTTCCTCTATTTACAAATATACAATAGGTGGAAAACCTAATTATTAGTCAAATTGCGTTAATACTTGTTCGTTACAATTTATTGTGATATAATGGAAGTTTGGCAGATTTGTAAGTGACAAAATATGGTTTCAGTGAAAGATGACGATTCAGAAGTGGATGTGTACAATCTGGAAGAGGCAATTAAGTTGACAGGTAACACTGTCTTGTTCCAGATTCGATATTTGTTTGATTTAACGTTGGAAATATATATATATTTAAATTGGACGAGTGAATTTTCAGTTAAATGTTTCTGTTTAAAACCAAAGTATGGAGGATTTAAACATATTTCAAAGGTAGCTGTTGATTTAAAAAACTTAATTTGAAATTATGTAGATAAAAGCTAGAAAAAACCTCACGAGGTTCCTTTTTGCAAATAAGATTTTTTTTAATTTTTTAACAAAGTTATCACATTGAAAAGTGACCAGTAAAATAATTTCACAAAGTGAGCCGAGGACCGCACTGTACGGTCTTTTTATATATTATTCGATTCCTTGATGAAACATTAACAAGATTTTACGACTTCTAGATTTTTTATTGCATAGATTTGTGTATTTAGAAATACACAAATGGCGGATTTAATGCCAAAAAGGCATCCTCTACCAGTCAACCATTAAATTTAGTACTACACTTAAAGTGGCGGCAGACATCACGAATGTTGATATGTACATTACGTTATTGATATGCCTACATAAGAACTATATCTAAATATATTTAAAAATATATACAATTATAGATATACATAAATAAATGCATATATAACTATAACACAACAATATGCAGGTCATGGCCGCTACAACTACCAGCTGTTGATCGCCTGCAGCATCTTGAGCCATGCTGTGGCGCTGGATATGTTTGGTTTCAACGTTGTGTTAGCGGCTGCCACCTGCGACCTGAAACTGGGCATCGCTCAGTCTGGTGCTTTAGCTTCAGCTCCTTTCGCAGGTAACTCGATCACAATAAACTTGAATCATTTTCACCAGTTGATTTCTCTAGTAGATTAGTAACTAGAATTTTATAACAGAACGCTTGGCAAATTTTTAGATCGACAGTAGGTGCGTTTGGAGTTAAGGAAAGAAAGTATTATGTACCTATTCCGAAAAAAATAACATCATTAAATACATTCTCTAACATTGCAAAACATAAAGGAATTATCATATTATTGTTATAAATTCAAATATCAAAGTTGTACCGAAACAGGCAGCTAATCCAGTTTGTTAGGTTGCTATACCTAATGCTGATTTTTAATAGGGTTGTATCCTACAAGTGAAAATACTGGTTTCTGTTATATTTTTAGAAAATAATTTTTTAACACTAATTAGGAAAATATTACGCTTTGAAAACTTGTAAAAAGTAGGGGAAAAATATTACAAATATTGTCTAAAATATTGTACATAATGGTATTAAATTAGTTTCATAAAATGTGTTAACTTTTATTATATCAACTAAAAACTATAAATTGCCCATACGTTTTTCGCTACCTGATGCCACTTAGTAGTGGCTTGAAATTACACTAGCAGCAGTTCCACAAACCTGGCACCGCATCTCAGAAACTATTAATCGCAGACATGCTGTTACTTTATTTCTCAGATATTAATCGACTATTTATTTATAAAATAAAAAATAATCAACTAACCTTAGCTTTATTTGTCTTTTTCATATATGAATGTCGAAATGACCACAATCAGTCATACTACTAGTGTGTGACTAGTCCAGTCTTTATATTTAGTTTTTTCTATAATATTAGAACATGGCCGTGGGTTCGATTCCCATCTCAGGGTGCCAGGGACCAAATGGATTTTTTAAGCATTTTGTACTAAGAATATGGTGATTTCATTTCAGGAGTGATATTTGCCTTTCCCTGGGGTTACTACGCTGACACCAAGGGTAGAAGACGAGCTCTCCTGCTCTCCAGTTCAGTTGGTTTCATCATGGCTGGTCTGAGTAGTTTTGCTGCCAGCTGGCAGGTTATGCTGGCTTTGAAAATAATTGGATGCGCTTTGTGAGTATAGCTCTTTAAAACATGCTATTAAGGAAGTCTGGATAGACTTTATTAATTTATCTACAAGCTATGGTAAAACTAGCAGAATGGTACAGTATGGTAGAAGTAATTCGGTGGCGTAGTGGATAAGCGCCTCGGCCCGCCATCGTTGTCGTTAAGCAACTTTCGCAAGGGTCGGTCACGGGATGGGTGACCGAAAAATTATTATCTCGAGCTACTCCGTGCTTCGGAAGGCACGTCAAGCCGTTGGTCCCGGCTGCATTTGTAGTCGTTAATACCCTCCAATCCGCATTAGGTCAACGTGCCTCCTTAACCACCCATAAGGAAGGCCTGAGCCCCTGCAGTGGGTACGTAAAATGGATGATGATGATGGTAAAATTTTATCTAAATTATTTTATAGTCTAAATCGTTTCAAATATCAAACACATTTTTATTAATAGTGAACCCGGATACCAATTTTATAAATGATGCTATAAAGAAAGAAGTAAATGAGTGTCTTGGGACATTCTTATATAACAAAAACGTTGAAGCTTCAATCACTAGTTAATAACGAAAAACATTCTCATTTTTTTAATATGACTAGGTACATTCCAAGGTATGTTGCATTATGTACCTAGTTCAAGAATATTTTTGTTTTCAGTTCAACTGCCTCGTTTTCTCTCACAATGACGTATCTAGGAGAATGCACCGGACCCCAACTACGTGACCGGTACATATTCATAATGACATCGGCTAATCTAGCATCTGAAATAGTTTCATTTGGTAAGACGACCAACGCCTCTAAAAACTGGGAATCTCAAGTATTACGCTAAAGCTGATATTAATTTATTTCATGAAGGTACAGCAGAAGTCCCGGTTTTGGCTACTGCCCTCTTTGTGACCATTTGGAGCTCCCAAGACATTCTAATTAACCCAAATACATTTACTAGTTATTACTTCACCATGTATTTATGGCAATACTAACAACTGTGATGTTTCCAATTCACTTCGTCGTAATTCTCAAAATGGCCAAACTAGGCCATAATCTTAAAATAAGTAAAAACAGGTAATCTGCTTTATTTATCAGTAATTTGTTGCTGATCATCATTAACCGTACGACGCCCACAGCTGAGCATAGGCCTCCCAAATATTAATTTATTTATTTATTATAGGTACACTGACAGATTACAATCATTACAATAGGTATAATATAGAGTATTATTAAGTTTATATAAGTCTAGACGGCAATCCTTAATAAGTGTACACAACATGATTACAGTGTTGATATCACAAAAAATAAAAAAATAAGAAAAACAATCACAACAAATAAAAAAAAACGATATAAAAATAATAATGATAATAATATGATAATGCTGCTGTGACTGAAGTTAGGAAAATTTTGCATCTATAATAATATTGGATACATTTTTTTTATATTGAGAGAAACTTGGGTTAAATATGTCTAGATCGGTATTATTGCGAGTATATTCATTGTAAGTCCGGCACATTCTCACCACTGGGTTATAAAATGAAGTGTTATTTTTAAAAATTTGTATTGCAAAAGTATTAGGACGACGAGATCTATGTCTTATATTGATGCTAAGCGACGAGAGCAGACTCGGTGCATCGATAGCAGAGTGAAGTACTTTGTGGAGTGAACATTAACACCCAGGAAATATAAACAACGTATTTGTGCATTAGTGTAATTCTACTTTGTTTCGTGTATGCAACAAGACATCGAACCTTATATATTTTTTTAACGAGGCCTTTGTGGGTGAGGGGTTGTTTCGACTATCCTTGCTATACTACTGCTCATGTCAATACAAAGACTGCTGTTAGATGCAAGTCATAAAAGCAGATCGAAGAAGTAGTTTTAATATTGCAAACATATTATTGTACGAGTATCATAATATACCAATTTTAAACGTATACTAGTTTCGTAGTACTCTGACAGATTCATGATTATATTCGATTATCGATATCTGATTCAGATTTTGCTTCTGGATTCTGATGATCTGAATTATATTTCTACTAGCTGACCCGGCGAACTTCGTACCGCCTTATAGCCGTTTTTTTTAATTTTATATACAAACTGTGTCACGAATCTTGGAACACATAATAAATAGAATCATCCAATTTAGTGCAGTCGGAACTTTTATTCATCGATATTTAATAGCTCGCCCGGAGAATTTATTTTTCGATAACTCATTGGTTATGTATATATATATTATTGTTAAAAATTGGTTTGTAAATAACCAATCATTTATGGAAAAAAAAAATATAGACATATACCACCGCGGACTTTTTTGTAGATCTATTAAAGTGTACAGTACAACAATCCCACCATACAATATTTTGTTCTAACACAAAAGTTTTTGGCAGCGTTTTCGAGGAAAGCATTCGATCGGCTTTATTTTTTCCGACATATTGAACTAATATCGTTGTTATATCATTAGTTTGTACAAAACCTAAACTTATCTATACACTAAAACCTACCTCAAAAACTGTTCTATCTATTGTTGAAAAAAGCATGAAAATGCGTCCAGTACTTTTCGAGTTTATTGCGAACAGACAGTAAGAAGCAGCGGGGGACTTTGCTTTATAATATGTAGTGATAAAATTTCTTACAGGCAATATAACTTGAATTAATTTTAGGTAATAATTATAATTTTATTATTATTTCAGCTTTAGCATATTTCCTTCTACAATTAGACTTTAACGTACCTATGCCCTTGCTGTCCATCACTTTCCGTCCTTGGCGGTTGTTAAACTTCATCATGTCATCTGCTCTTGGACTGGGTGCAACGATGATATATTTCCTCCAAGAAAGTCCAAAATTTTTAGCTGAAGTGGGAAGTTCTGATAAGACTGTGAAAGTGCTTAGAATTATCTATGAAACAAATGGTGGTAAGAAGAATAACTATCCGGTAAGTATGGGTATTATGAACCTAGAAGTGAACGTTCACTGTGCAAGCATTGTGGAATGCAATAAAATAAATTATGGTAGCAACAAATTTTCCATAGTTTGAATGAATTTTCTTTCTGTAGATTTCTGTTCTTCGCTTACATTATAATAATAATCATTTATTTACTTTTTAATGAGGTACATTGTAGATTGAAATAAAATTTGAGTTCAGACCATTTAGCCATCAGTGATAGCATGCAAATATTGATAAGATTACAGATATATAATAAGTATGTCAAAATTATTAAATTAGAAATATCATTTTTACATTAAACTATTATAGGGTACAATCATTATTCCTTGAAGTATGTCGAACTAATTAAAAATATAAAATCAGTACAAATATAAAAGTAGATAATGTTCATTTGAAGAAAAACAAAAAAAATATCACACATTTAAAGACATTACTCAATTCTCAACATATGCATTCATTACTTATTTTTATGATTTAAATATTCCATAACGCTATAAAAAGCATTATCACACAACCATATAAATAGGGCTTTTTTAAAGCTATTAAATGGAAGATTCTTAATGCTAAGAGAGATATTATTAAAAAGCACAATATACATCCAATAACAGTTATTCTGAATTCGCGTTCCTTGGAATGATATCAGTAGCCAATCTATCACAATTTCTGGTATTGCGTATATATAAATTTTTTGCCTGTTTAAAGCAACAATTATTTTGTTTTATGAATTTAGCGACTTCAAAAATGTATAAACAAGGTAAAGTTAATATTTTTAATGATTTAAAGAGAGATTTGCAGGTTCGGTTCATTGGTAACTGTTGTATTGATCAATGAGAACATGTACTTATTTATTTTATATACTGACAGAAACAGACATGTTGTTTCTATCAAATGTCTCTTATTATTTATAATTTTTCCGAATAACATTCAGAAAAAGTTTAAATTCTATATGAATTAAATTAGTACACAAAAGAGATCGACCGCAACAAGCCTCTTTATGTGTTATTTATACTAACGCCTTAAAAATGTCGTTGTTTGATACATTGCACGAACAATTTGTTTTTGTTTCTGTTTAAGGTGAAGCATATTAAAGTTGAACATACAGAAAGGAAGGAAGAAGGCTTTTGGGGTTCCCTTATAAAGCAGACTACCCCACTTTTCAAACCACCTCTGTTATGGAGGACTTTACAACTGTTTTACCTTATGGCTGTCGCTTGTAGCACGTGAGTAGTTGTGTTTGTTATCGTCCATTCTTCAGTCTTCTCTGTGGATAGAATTAACGAGTCAGTTCATCGGGTGGACTTAATATATATTGGAGGGTAAATTCTTTTGATAACGGAACTTACGAATGCAATCAATGGTCAAGTTCTTCCCGGTACAAGGTCTCGCACCGGAGATTTGCGAACCAATGGCGTAGTTTTCGACATTTACAAGTGCTTTGAGCAGTCTAGATTGAATAAATTGTATTGAATTTGGATTTGGATGGTGGTCTACACCATAGCATTTCGATAATTTTAGACTATGCTATATAAATAGGATAGTAAACGTAAATAACCATGTATTAATGTATCTTTAACGTTATAAATTTCTTTGTTAATAGGAATAACGTGTTTATAATGTGGTTTTCTATCATTGTGAACACCTTTTTTAAATCGTTGTCTGAAGATAATGTCGATGGGTCCTTTTGTGAGAGAATTGTGAAAAATATAACCATAACTCGATCTGATTCGGTAAGTATCATGATTTGAGTAAAACTTTAAAACTACAATTTTGTACTATAATAATAAGGGTCAACGTGAATGTTAAGACCTTCCATTCAATAGCGTTGCAAACTATAATATTATTATTCATAAGGGTTTTCCAATAACATGTGTTATTTTGAATAGCCCGTTATTTCGGTAGATGTCACTTTTGAAGCGGTAATTTTTTTATATTTGACAAGTAGAAACTACGCTATTAAAATAGTGAAAATCTTTTACGGGAAAGTTTCCGGACAGTGTTTTCTCTCGAAGAGGTGATCACAATTGGCTACCGAGATCTTGTGATTTCTTTCTATGGAGCCACGTGAAAGAGAAGGTCTACAGTGAAAAGATGGAATTCGTGAGGCTATCAAGGACATAGCATAGCCACTTTGCGATTCGGTTATGGAAAATTTCATGAAAACGACATTGTCCTGTAAGCGTGGTCGTGGTAGTCATCTTCCTGATGTTATTTTCTACTATTAACGGCATACCTTCTTCATCTATATATATAAAAATGAATCGCAAAATGTGTTGGTAAGCGCATAACTCAACAACGCCTCGACCAATTTGGCCAAATCTTTTTTTAAAATGTTCGTTGAAGTTCAAGGATGGTTTTTACGGCGAGAAAAATTAGAATTATTGCTGGAAAAACCCTAAAAATAGCCCTTTTCTTTTTCCCATACAAATGATTTGTAACTAAAACGTAGTCAATTTGAGCTTTATTGCTATAGTATAAAGTTCATATTAAATTACAAGCACTCACTGTTATCTAAGCAATGTAGGTGTGTTCCTAACGTCAAAGATCATATCTATCAAAACAATGTGCGTGTGTGCGTTGGAGCACAGAATACATAGTTGGAGGAGTTTAATGTCGCGTTCCGAAACTCGCGTTTCTTTTGTATTAGTTTCGGCACGCGAGATAAAATGCATCAGTTTCCACGTCATTACATGTATTGCCGGAACATTGATGAAAATACGCTCTGTAGTAGCAAAGCTGTTGGGTCCTAGATAGCTCATTGGTTAGAGCAGTCCCTGGATCGCGAATGGGTTCGAGTCCCATTCCGGGGTACAGGTAGATGGATTCTTCCAGCATTTTTCCTTGAGAATGTTTATATATTTTTTTAATTCGAATAGTTTACTTTTATAATGCTGTTGTGTGTAATGTGTTTTTATGATCATAAAAATCTCTTTTTTCTATATTTAATACTATTACTATTAATACATTGCAATAATAATTATGATTCACATGATTAACAATAAAGCGATTACTTACTTTTAAATCCTTATATATGTTTTATTTAATTATTTTTTATTCACAACGCCCTATCACCAGGGTGACGGTTCTGTTCAGGAGAATTTTTTTAAATACGTAGGCAAAAAAAACTGCCACATTACAAATCTTTTTGACAGGACGAAGTCTGTCGGGTCAGCTAGTAATGAAATAAAAATCCGATCATTTATATAAAAAAAAAAAAAATCTTTATCGTATTGGAAAACCCCTTAGTATTATTATCTCATATCACGTGTATCAAGCAGGAAGCTTACGTATCATCAAAACTGAATATTATCAGTTTTATAATTAAATGTTTTTTTATGCGCACTATTCCTAAATGAAATAACTTTTAAACGTTTTCATTTAGTTTTATTAACGTTTTGTACGTACGTACAGGTCCAAAACGTGTTCTCTGTGAAGAGTCCGAAACGTCAATAAAACTAAATACAAACGCGATGTAACCGTTTAAAAGTCGTAAGATATTTATTATCCTCCGGTTTTAATCAACAACTTTTTATTATAATACAGCGGAAATTTATTATTTTAATGATTTGTTTATTGTCTTTGTGAATCCCGCCTGTTAGGCATCCGCATTTATTGGGATCGTGTCCGAGTTGATTTCCCATTAGAGTAAATGAACATAAAAGAAAGAAAGAACAAACGACTTAAACAACCTATGAATTGCTCCAGCAGCTGAAAGATTTCTTGTCAGAAAAAGACCAGTTATCTTTTATTTAAAAATAAACATACATATAATATGAACTTTTTGTTTTTAGACAACCTGTACCGACTCCATCTCTTCAAACACTTTATACTCCGGTATAATAATCGGCTTGTTCTATACTATTGTGACACTGCTTGTGTCCAGGTTCGCTGCATGGAGAAGACTTGTTCTTATATCATCGTTCACAGTGGCCTCTGTCAGTGGTATTCTAGTGAATTTACTAAAAGCACCATGGGCTAACTTGTTAGCCTTTATGTTGTTACAAGGAACGCTTTTGGGGATTGGCAGTGTGGCCTCGTATTTCGTGGATCTGTATCCGACTTCATGTAGGTAAGGATTTGGCTCCGATGTATGATAATGATAATGGCAAAGTACTCGTAACAATCAAGTGGTGTCATATTTTATTTTTAGTCTCTTACGAGATTTTAGTAGCTCGGTGGCGTAGTGGATAAGCGCCGCGGCCCGCGATCGTAGTCGTTAAGCAACTTTCGCAAGGGTCGGTCACGGGATGGGTGACCTAAACATTATTATCTCGAGCTACTCCGTGCTTCGGAAGGCACGTTAAGCCGTTGGAAATGCAGCCGGGCTGCATTTGCAGTCGTTAATACCCTCCAATCCGCATTGGGCCAGCGTTGAGGGTCATGGCCCATCCTCCTTAACTATCCATAAGGAAGGCCTGAGCCCCTGCAGTGGGGACGTAAAAGGGCTGATGAAGATGAGATTTCACACCGTTTTGATAACCGACGTCTTAATTCGACATGTGCAAGCGCATGTCACGGTCTAAATTTGAATGTTATTCAATTTGAATTTATCGCATATTACCAGATGAATGTAAATTTCCTAACGTCAAGAAAATCAAAGTTCCTGTTTTACTCCATTCGGGCGACTTTATTGTTTATTACAGAGGGTTAGCGATGAGCTTGGCCATGATGACAGCGAGATTGTTGGCGTTGGTGGGTGTGAATGTTGTGGGGGTGATGATTGTACATCACTGTAGCCTCACCTTTTATGCGTGGACGGCTCTTATCACTGGTATGTATGTGTTTATTGATAGCAGATGTTACTATACGCATTAACAAAAAAAGGTCATCTTGAATTAAACAAGTACAATTACGGGCGGAAATCTTATGAATATCCTAGAGTTATTTGTTTTTTGGAATATGGAAAATATCAACAGGTTGAAAAAGTCTGTTAAAGTTATATAAAACTTTTTCCATCTAAAACTATATCATAACACAGCAAAGTCTGTCATTCAAATTTTAAAATTATAAGATTTTATACAATTTATCTATGATTTTTGAAAAAAAAACTTATTTATACTGAATCTTGTCTACAGGTGGAGTGGTCATGGTCTTCTTTTTACCTACTGGAAGAACGAAGGTATGAAGAATCACGAAGATGAACTATGCCAGTCCTAGTAAAGGAGGATTTCACTGATTGAACGATAACAAATATATTTTGTTGTACTCTTCGTTAAATTTTAAGAAAGTCAAAAGTATGCTTAATGAAAGATGCTTAATAATCCACTTTATCCCTGGCACTTTGAGATGGGACTAAAACCCCACGACCTTTAGTAAGCCGAGCGATTGCTCTAACCACTGACCTATCCAGGGTCTAACACTACTGACGAATTTTTCAAGCACTTGTTACCTTTTCGCTTGATTTTTTAAGCATTTTTCATTATAGTGTTGTGAATGCGAAATTAATAAAAAATAAAAAAATATTAAAAGTATTTTTGCGTATATCATAACTTTTTATTTATTTCTTATTGGTGTGGAAGTGGATAATGAATGTTTTATTATTTAGGTATGCCATAACAAGAGGATGCATTTTTAACAACCTTGACACATTTCTTTTTATTTTCTGCCAGGTTAAGCTATTGGACTTTATATATATCAGACCAGTTATCTTAGATGACATAATAAAAATGTATAAGGTAAAGAAATGAACATTTTTGAAGGCTATAGATAAATAAAACTTTACATAAGATTTCACAACATTATAAAATTTGCGCCTGGAGATCTGTTTTAAATTAGATAAGAAGTCACGTTAATATAATGACAACATTGGTGTCGAGATACAGTGTATATTATAACGTCAATGAAAAAGGTAAATAGTGACTATGAAAAATTTGAGAATTTAATAAAAAGGAAACGTGGTGTTGTTAGTGACTTGGTACATCTCCAAAATGACTAAAGTCGAAAAAGTGTCGTTTGAGGAAGCTCTTAGTTCAACAGGTATGAGTTTTAAACCTATCCTACTTATATTATAAATGCGTAAGTTTATGAGGATGGATGTAGGCATACATGTATGATTGTTACTCTTTCACACAAAAACTTTTGAACGAATTTTGATGAAATTTGCTACATGGATAATTCTAAGCCTGGATTAACATCCCGCTAAACAGTTCCCTAGGGACCATGCGGGCGAAGCCGCTGGCGGAAGTTAGTTTATTAGAATTGTTATGTAACAGAAACATAAGTTCTACAGTCAATAAAGGAGACCAGAAGAAGAAGAGATCAAGCTCCGAATTGAGTTGATTTTAGTTGTTATGGATGGAGTGTCTGAAACAACTAATGTAACATAACATACAAACACGAGATGATATCTTAATCGTTAAAAAAATCTCAGTTAGTCCAACCGGGAATTGAATTACCCTCTGGTAATGAGTTCGATTAATGAGTCTAGAGATGGCGAGATTTAAACCGGCGGCGTGCGAGCCACTCGTCCATAGGGGTTAAGAAAGTATAATTCGAATGGCCAGTGGTTTGCCACATTTGCCTAAAGTCTTTATAGATCTCTATAATTTGTGAACTAACAATCATACGGTGTGTCATTTTGTGCTGTCAATGCGCATTATTCGACTATATATGACAGGTCATGCTCCTAATTCATTGTAACAGTAAAATATGACTAGGAGAAATGCAGAAAAATAAAAAAAGTTTTGAAACACATAGAATGTTGAATTATTTATGAGGATCAATTAAAGTTTAATACATTAATATAAATCTTTCGACTGAAAAGTTACCTTATATCACATTTAGATTTCCTATATTCTATTCCGTTGCATTTTTATTCTAACTTCTATAATGATATGCCCAGGTTTTGGTAAGTTCAATGTATGCACGTTCCTGCTATGCAGCACCGTTATAATGGGAACGGCTACCGAGATCCTGTCGGTGGCCTACTTGGTACCAGCTAGCGCATGTGAGCTGCTTACTACTAATACACAACAAGGACTGATGGCTGCTTTCCCTCTGTTGGGTGAGGAGACAAAAACAAATTATGTAACAAAAAACATTATTCTACTCGTTTTATGATTTGCAAAATGAGTATGTGTAACTCGGCAACCGTTACAAAAAATATCTCTTTTGTTTTTTTCTGATATTTTAATGGAATGTGACTTCATAGTCTAATGAATTCACTTTCCAAGACCTCTTTATTGGAATAAAACAGGAAGAAAAAGCGGCCCTTGCTGAGTTTCTTGCTGGTTCTACTCAGTACACGGTTTCCCGCCGTAGATTTCCGAAGCGAGTGCGTAGTTTTCACCACATTCACATGTACTAGCCTAGACTGAAGAAATGATATTTAATTTGAACTTTAATAGTTTAATTTCAATATAAAAAGAAACGCTTGCGCTTGTTTCTTGACTCTAATTTTTATCAAATATTTTACTTAATGAAAGTCTAGCAGTATGTTGTAGCATCTCATAGGAGAAAATCGTCTCACCTTACAAAAGATTATAAGGTATCTGACTGACTGAGCTATCAAAGCTCAATCTACGAATGGATCGAACTGTAATTAGACAAATGGGGGATTTGAATTTGTATAAGAATCTGTCAGCAGGGATTAGTTTCTAGTTCGCCATTTACATGAATGCGAAAATATTTTATCAGCATTCTCTTTTAGGCATTGTCGTAACGTCACATTTCTGGGGTTATCAGGCGGATACTCGAGGTAGAAAAAAGGTGATGTTGGCTGCTATGATAGCCAGCTCAATCACTAGCATCTTGTCCTCTTTCTCTCCCGATTGGATCACTTTTACCGTTTTTAAATTTCTATCTTCAGGCTGGTAAGTTACTATTGCTCATAATTAACTAGCTTTATAGATCAGGACTTGAGAACGTTTGAAAAATACCGGTTTATCACCATCATCAGTTAATTGATGTCTGTCTGTCAAATCAAACAGGGAGTAGGGAGAATGGACCACTGTCGGCTATACTGGCACAGGCCCATTGGTAGGTGTTATGGACTGCAGATACAGATCAAAACAGCTTAACATCTTCAGATGCGCGGAGAAGCTTGAGATATTTTTCCTCAACCATCTTTGGAAAGTTACTTAATCTATTGGTCAAACCAAACGCGTTACGCGCCATCAAGCTCATCGAAATCGATAAATAATCAAATAGGCACATATGTACATGTCGTTTACTTCTTATTATTTTATTGGTGTTGTTTTTATTACGTTATAACATTAATTTTGTAATGATAATGAATATTTGATTCAGTGTAGCAGGAGCTCTCGCCATCGTGTTGACACTACTCAGCGAATGTACGCCAGCAGCAAAAAGAGCTCTTTTTATCATGTTTTCTTCTTCTGTGTTCCTCAGCTCTAACAGCATTATAGCAAGTGAGTTTTTATCATTAAGCATCCTAAACAGTAATGAACCAAAGTTTTTTTGTTTTAAATTTCTCCATTTTTTATACATATAACATACAGATCTTGTTTGTTAGTTGCATATCCGATATTTCGATTAACAAAAAAAGATATATTGGCTCTTGAAGAGCCAACTTTAATGCGGGGTGTCTATTGGCAAGGAACTTTTCTTGGTTAAGTTAATTGGCGACTGTTTCCACTGACTGACTTTTTCAGAGGTGTACATTAAAACTTGCAGCAAGTTCGATTGATCACCAGGCCCGTCTTAAGGCGCCCGGGAGCAAGTAGCGCTCTGGCGCTCCCCGGCCCACTTTTTACATATATTTATATTAGACCATCATCGGTGCGGCGCCCCCAACGAGCTCGTGTGCATTGCACACTGCATTATAGGTCAAGCCGCCCCTATTGGTCACTAAAACATGCAGAAGTCTACTTGCATGAGAATTAACATCTTCGAAATCGTTTGTCCAAATCAAACAGTAGCAAACGGCAGCATTAATTCTGTAATTATAATTTGCAACGAATTTGTATACAGAGATTCATACACAGGCTAGCAGAATTTTAAAACTATCCTTGCTTTGTCATCGAAAAACATAATTATATTCGACTATCGGCTGAGAGCCGAAAGAAATAGATGTCCACTAGCAGCGTTTGTATTCCAAGGAGATAATTACAAGAGTGGTACTTTAGATCTATGAAAAATGAATAGAATATTGTAGACATTCGCTTAACATGTCCTGGAATGGATTGAACATGGTACGTTTTTTAGTGTCATTCCGGACATGGTTCCGTTAACATGTCCGCGGGACATTTAGTTCCTGGGCTATGTAATGTTCACATGTATTAGGTCCTTTCCTACTTTTACTTCTTCTTTTATTAATAGCTTATCTGCGCGTTTCGCACAATTCTGCAAAATTCAAGTGATTATATTCATTAAATTAAAATAACATCATTTTCCTTATTTTGAAAAACTTTCTCTTATTTTGGATCTACTTTTAAATAGCTTCACAGATTTTTATGATATTTTATATTCAGTAGATCTGAGAATAGGCTGTTATCTAATTTTCATACCTCTAACTAATAAGGGTGGTCCAACCCAAATTCATATGGCAAAATAACGTTTTCCGGGTCAGGTAATTAGATAAATTGTAAAAAAACGATGTGTTTAAATTTTGGCAAAATTATTAATTCATGAACTGCTCAAAATTATTAATTAATTTGTATTAATCGAAATTATTTAATTTTTTCTAATCATGCACGCAGGTGTCAAAATTAAGTTAAAAATAATAATCTAAATATTAAAGGATTATCGATTTTATTGCATAAATCTGAAATAACATTATCTTATCTATAGAGAAAGCACATTCGAACATGTCTCTTTCGCATTTATAGTTCCGCGGAGCGCGACGGCTCCGCGGAACTGTCAACGTGGTTATATAGACCGATATCATTCGATATCCGGACATGGTTCCTGGAACTATTACGGTCCGGAACTACTCATGTCTAGAATATTGTACATCGCTTTTTGTACAATATTCTTAGGGGTTGAATTTTCAGTATCATTTATTAGTGAACCTCTACACCATACTAATATTTAGTGTTTCATATTACAGTAGAGCCCGTGCCGGACTCACAGTGACAGTTTTTGTTCAATCGAAATTTGCCCTTCCCTTATTTATTTATATAGGACTGTCAAATAACACATATTAATACAATTAATTATAACTTATTCTAAATAAAAACAATGTCTGATATATGTCACAATTAAGGCGCACATAGCATTCGCAGTCAATTCATTTGAAGTCAGATAAGATTGTGATATAAAATAATTAATTAGAAAAATACCTTAAAATTATTTTAAATATTATAAAAATTATTAAATGACCAAATAAGCTCTAGGAAGATAGATAATAGGACGTGAAATCTCACTATTTTGACTGGGTTAAAGAGAAATAAGTGCGTATGTGCCTGTCAATAATATCTTGTTAATTGATTTCTTCTTAAATAAATATGAATATAATGCTATCTCAAAGCGATCATCGCTTAAAATCAACTAGTGGTTCTTCACCTTCGTAATTAGTACGTATAATTTTATATAATTTTTTCCATCAAACAAAATCCTGTGAATAGATCGACATCTATTAGGTTTCGAATAGCGAAAACTTCCTGATACGTGCGTGCGTTTTCTTATCTTATCACGGCTTACACATCATACTGATAAGAAAATTATAAATATTTTTAGTAGTATTTATAAATGACAACTGTATTTATCTTTGTTATAAAGTTAAGACTTAATGAAAGAAAGATTTAATATGGACTTATAATTAATGGTCTGTTACATCAACGCTAATTAGGCCTCCCAGTTGAGTGGTTTATGATTCGAAATTTTTACTTCACACACCGCGATGTTTTCATGGCTTCTTAACTTTATTAAAAATACGGCTAAGAATAGAAAATATATTTGAAAAAAAAATATTATGCCAATACTAGTGTCGAACGATAAATTAAACAAGCTTATTTTTACCCGACTGCGCGACGCAAAGGAATCATAAATTCTAGTGCAGAACAGAACAACTCACAGTTGGAGCCCATTCAAATTTTACCAATCAAATCTTCCCAAGGGGCCCCCCCGACTATGAGTCGTTCTGCATTAGAATTTATGATTTGTTTTATGTGTGTTGTTTTATGTTTTAAGTTATTAAATATAACTTAACAGAATTCTTAACTACTGCGCTTGTTCCTTTCTTTTTAGTTTTTATTTCATGTATTTTTTTGAATTCGTTTTTTCGCAGTCGGGTTTTTTTTTACATTTTATTTCGCATTATTTTATTGTAACACTAACAATTTGTATTTTTTTTCAGTCATCGCTATCCCAGTGCTCCAGCTGAAGTTCTCTTACTACATCCCGTTTCTCAATATCCAGTTCTGTTCCTGGAGAGCTTTGTGTTTGATCATCAGTAGTTCCTGTGTTCTGGGCTTGATCGGTGTCTGTTTTCTGTATGAGAGTCCAAAGTACCTTATTAGCGTAGGCGAGGAAGAAAAAGCTTTGAAGATTATGCAAAATATATTTGTTATTAATAAAAATAAGAGCAAGGAGGAATATCCCGTAAGTAAGATTGAGAAAATTTATATTTATAATGGGAATTGTTTAGTTTTTTAATTAGTTCGTGACATAAATGCAACAGTTTTATAATAAGTGCGTTAATTGTCTGATTTCAAAATGCTATCTATACCTTTCAAAGGTGTAGTGATTAATAGAATTCTGTAACTTAAAACTTATATTCGCTTTTTAAAAGAACGATTATTTCAAAGATCTAGACTCAATAACAACTTAGAACCGTCGAAAAATTGCAGTTAGAGTTAGCGTTTAACTCTTTCATTTCACAGTTCTATATAGTTTTAAGGCATGTCTAATATAATTCCAACTATTGTCAAATTAATTATGTCGTTCATTCAGCTCAAAAAAGTCCTGGAGATACCAATCGTTTTTACATGTCAAATATTTGTACCGTTCGTGAATATCTGGCAAATGTCTAATTGAAAATGATTGCTATAAATTTTAAAATTAGATTATTAGATCACAGCTTATACATCACTCAGTACTCAAGTGTAGTACGTAAGTAAGTACTCAAGTCAGAACATCTGGGGGCTTAAATTAACATATGTTCACATCACTCCAATCCTAACATACATTATCAAATCAGCTTATATTAATCTGTCAATTTTCTGCATTTGATTTCAAATCTTAAATTTAAAATCAACTGGAGAAGTTTGACATATTGTGATAATATGGAGTGCAGTCGTGTGTACGTTATGACATTTGTGATATATAAGCTACCTTTAATACCTACCTGAATATTGACTGTTACATAATTCTACTTCTTCTTTTTTTTATTAACGGGTTATTTGCGCCATTCGCACAATTCTCCCAATGTCAGTATATATTTCTAAGAAGTTCTGTTATACTCGACTGACATATTAAAACAATGGAGTTACAATTAACTGCAATTTTTACTGTATTTTGGTAAAATAAGTGCCACAATAAAATGATTTCTTGAGAAATAAAAAAAAAAAAAATTAAAGATAATTGTTATTTTGAAGATCCAGTCAAAAGAAATGTGTTAAAATTAGTAGTAGCCTGTAATTTATGTAATTATCACATATTTTCCTTTATTCACAGGTAAAATCAATGTTTCTAGACGAGTCGACTGGAGCACATGTTTCTAAAGGCTTTTTCTCTTCGATATTGGATCAAACAATACCATTGTTCAAACATCCTCTATTAAATAAAACAATATTGCTTTCTGTTCTTCTAATTATGCTTTTAATGAGGTTAGTATATTTTCAATTCGTAATAGCACATATAATAAAATAGCGGTCCATTTTATCCTTATTTAATATTGGGTCATTTAATAATTTCAGCATTCAGCCTTATCTGGTCTGGTTCCCATACATGATAGATGGTTTCATGAAATCTGTGCAGACGGGTGAAGAAAACTTGACCTTTTGTCAAAGATTGAGAGCTTCCCAAAATGCTACTGAAACTATGGTAATTATGAAATGTCTTTTACCCATATAAACTACTAACTTTGCGTAGTATTAGTATTTATATACAGTGGTTTATTTTTAACCAACTTCAAAAAATAAGAATAGGTTTTCAACTTGACTGTTTTCTTATAGTCATATTGTACTTTTAAGAGGCCGATCAGTAGTTTTTGTTTAGTTTAAAAAACTGGGAAGATTTGATTGGTAAAATTTGAATGGGCCCTTCCCAAGGGGCCCCGACTATGAGTCGTTCTGTTCTGTATTACTTAACAGAATTCTAAACTACTGGGCTTATTTCTTTCTTTTTAGTTTTTATTTAAGTTAATTTTCTCATGTATTTTTTTAAATTCGTTTTTACGCAGTCGGGTTTTTTTCCTTTACATTACTTCACGTTGATGATTATCAAAACTTATTCAATCGATTCTATTTTCGTCCAGCTAATCTTATTCAATCTTCTCCAACACTACAAAATGCTTATAGATCCAGATAATAGTTAATCTTTTTGAGTATGTAGACTGGCAATCTCACCTTGAATAGGTGTTCCTTGTTACTGAAGCCTCTTAGCCATCGTTGCGTTCATTATTTTATTTATAAACAAAATAATAGCATTACTGAAGTCCTTATAAATATAAAAGTTATCGAATACAAGTAAACAGTTAAGTCATAATCGATACACACACATGAAATAGTATTTAGAAAATCGACAGGGTGTATTTTTTCTTTTCTCAAAAACGTCGTAGTAAAATCCAAGCTATTCATCCAATTGATTTGGTGTTAAAGACAATTTTTATTTGAATTACATTTATTTGACGATAAGCATATTTATTTTGATAATGATTCAATATCACCTATTCAAATAAACGTCTAAAAACGGACAAAAAAAAACACTTTTACGACTTTTTTTTTAATCTTAACACATAGACATATGTCATCACGGACTTTTTTATATTTAATTTAGAAAGCATATGTATATTAGTTTAGGCAGCGTTCACAAAAATAGAGTGCTCTTGGAAGTACTTTTATCCCTAGGGAACATTTTAGCGGGAAAAAAAGTAGCCTATATGTTCAGTAGTTTTTGCGTGAAGAAGTAACAAACATCCAAACCTACAAAGTTTCGCCTTTATAATATTGGTAGGATAGAAGGACACTTCCTTTATCTTGTATTTATTATTAATGATAGTTTAATACGTTAATCTGGAAGTAATTATGGTCTGACTGACGACAAAACTGGTATGGTAAAAAAGTCTGTTTTTCCTTCAAATTATGTAAGTTAAGAGATTACGGTTATGGTAACAGTAATATCTCTGACATAATTTGTTAAATATGGTAACTGGCAAGCAACGTCGCAGACGCGATGTATGCTCACTAATGCCATCTTGTGACTGAGTGCATAAGTTGTGGTGTTCATACAAATGTTAAACTCGATGATATTTGGCGATGTAAGCGTGGCAAAATAGATGTCGTTAAATCGAACTTGTGGATAATAGAAAAAGAAAACTGAAGATTAGGTCATACGATTTTGTTTCAATATTTAGCTAAACTATCTATAAGTTGTCATACTATGATAAAGTGTAATTCTAGTTTGATATTTTATAAGAAGTAAGAAGGGCTTGGGATGACTTCTTACTTTTTCTATTGTAAACAAAATTACGAGAACTTGAACATTTTTATCTTTTAAAATTTCAAAAATGTAATATTTACTCAAATACCAATTTTCATCGCTATACAATAAAACATTATGTAGATAATATGAGGTAAATTTATTACAATGACAAATCAGATTTTAAACAATGGTTGCTATGGTAATATTTCGATTCCTCATAAAATCTTGCACTCCCATTTTATCCCTCTTAGTGCTAATTTTTGGAATAAAATATAACCTAATACCTTCCTAAGGTTATAAACTACCCAAATACCAATTTTCATCGACATAAGTCCACAAACAAAGAAGTTTCAAACAAACTTTTTTACCTTTTAGACCCCCTTCGGGATGGAATTTCCAAAAATCCGTTCTTAGTATACCTCTACGTATTAAGGGCAATGTTCCCTTCAAATTTCAAGTTTTTATGACCAGAAGTTTAGGCTGTGCGTTATCTGTCAGTCAGTATAGATTATTGATTTTTATGCGATTGATTATGACCATGCACCTGATATTTATTGAGTTCCTGATACTTCAGCGGTGTTATAAGCGCTAAGATCGCGGAGTAACTGAATCAATGAATAAAGTAACTGTAACATGGAGTAACTGAAATCAGCAGTGCGATTCTGAAAAAATCCGGACACGAATTTGAATTCACTCAGGTGTCCGAAGTCACTTCAAAAGCAGCATCCGCTCAACCTTGAATGAGGAAGAATTTAAAGAAAAATGAAATCACTAAAAAAGCACCTCTACTAGATGGCGACTCTAGCAAAAGTTGATTTTTGAAGGAAACGAATGGACCAAAGATAGTTATTGCCGTTCGTTATAGTTATTAAAGTTCGAAAATTAGATATTAATAAAAATACGAAAAAGTACAAATATAATTATTGTTGTTTATTGAGTTTTGAAAGCTGATTTACTTTTATACATGAAAGAAAAGCGGAAGGGTTGTCATGGAGAAACCAAGAAAGTACCGTAGCGACATCTAGTCAGATTCGGGGACTAATGTTTTTTTATACTTCCTCATTTTTAATAACTTTTCATTGCATGAGTGAAATGAGTTTCGAAATTACAGGGATAGAATATCTTAGACACGCATCTAATATATTTATCTATGCTAATGTTATAAAAATTAGACTGTTTATACATATATGCTTACCTAATTATTCATTCAAATTGATTTTATTTATAAATGAAACAATTTTTAAACGGTTTCATCGCGTTTTTATTTAGTTTTATTGACGTACCCTTTACAGGTGTTCACCTAAATTGTGGTATATAAAAAATAATTTTATTTATTTTAAACTGAACTTCACCGACTTTCAAAAACAGATTTAATTCTAGTTTGGGGGTCAGGGGCTCACAAATTTAAGTGCTAATTTGTAACCAAAAATTCCAGATTATTATTTATGTATGAAAACATGTTCTGTTTTGAATGAAGATTATTATTATTAAACAATTAGAATATTCATGTTAGACTCTTGATATAGGAGGTGAGTGACTGTTCCATCAACAAGTTCGCTCTGACAATAGTGTTCGGTGTTGGTATCCTGCTTTCCGTCATCAACATCATCCTGTCTACGTTGGTCAAGTACATTGGGAGGAAACGATTGATCATTATCATCCAAGTAAGTTAATTAAAATGCTATCTTAGTTTTGAAACATTTTTAAAACAAACCTGGAAACGGAGATAGTTGTTTTTTTTTATAGAAGTGTGCTCACAGCAGCAAAAGCAAAATATTCTTGAGATATTCTTGCTAAGGTCTCTTGTAGCTCAGTTAGGGCGAAAGTTTATAGGTTCGAGTCTTCCTTTAGTTCAGGACCTCTTTAAAAGATGCCGATGACATGATGAATATAGTATTAATTTATAAGTAAGCTTTCTAGAGCAGATATTGATAATAGCTCAAATCGAAATACCCCGAGGTGGGACTGGAACTCACGGCCTTTAATAACTTTAATGAAAATTGTTTTGTCCAACAGTTCGTCGCCGGGTTGGGTGCCGTATGCCTTAATTTCAGCACGCAGTGGATTCTCAGCGGGTTTCTTATCATCGTGTTCATTGCAGGGATGATTAACTTCGGGATGATCACCAGCGTCAGCGTCGATCTTTTCCCAACTCACGTCAAGTATGTCTGGAAAATTAAATTATATATTTTCTATTCAATATCCATTTTAAATAAAAAATATTTTATAAGACTATTTTTCATTAATTTCGTTTTTACATTATTTAATCAATAGAGACCTCTACGGTTGATACGAGTATATATATCACATATTCCGCCAGCGGCTTCATCCACATAGTCCCTATTCCCTAGGAACCACCATGTTTAATGGGATAAATAGTACCCTATTGTTAATCCAGGCTCACATTTATTCGTATATCAAATTCCACTAAAATCCATTCAGTTGTTTTTGCATGAACAAATATCTAAACCTACAATCTTTATAATATCAGTAAGATATAACAGTCATACGTGAATCGTAAAAAGTTTCTATGAGTCATGGAAAGATTTGATCATTTGTTTGCATTTAAAATTTTCCAAAACTACTGGAACGATTTTTAAAACTCATTCATCTACGGGACGCTTAATAATACTCTGGTGACATCGACCATACTTAACGTCAGCAAAGTTGCGGAAATAGTTTGTTGTATTATAAGTTACTACTTTAAACTTTGAAGGGGCTTTTTAAAGTAGTTTTCAAAACATGTCACGAACACAACTCACGGCCGGTTTCTGAATTGTGAAAAGCACAAAATCTCAACTGATTATTCTTAATTACTTAAGTTTTAAATATCATATGGCAAAAAGTCCTAGTTTTATAAAACTGCTATCAACTGATCATTAAAAAATTATAAATCAGTAATGAAAACCTTTTTAATTGACGTTTAAAATGGTTTAACGGTTTGAGACGTGTTCAACTTCAAATTCTCAATTCAGAAACCGGGTATATGACTTCTTGATCGTTTTCAAATACATCGTAAATGTTACGACGAATAAAGATAATTTCGAAATAGATTGTGAAAATTATGTGCAGTTAGCAATAATTAATTTTATTAATAGAGCAATGGCAGTGTCCTTCACGCTGATGGTGGGTCGAGCCAGTGTTGTGGTTGGCATCAATGTACTGAAACAGTTGCTGCATGTAAACTGCGAAGCTTCGTTCTATATGTTCGGTGCCATAACATTACGTAAGTTAAACATGAATCGTTATACCTCATCATCATCATCACCTCATCATCAGCCCTTTTACGTCCCCACTGCAGGGGCTCAGGCCTTCCTTATGGATGGTAAAGGAGGATGGGCCACGACCCTCCACGCTGGCCCAATGCGGATTGGAGGGTATTAACGACTGCAAATGCAGCCGGGACCAACGGCTTAACGTGCCTTCCGAAGCACGGAGTAGCTCGAGATAATAATTTTTTGGTCACCCATCTCGTGACCGACCCTTGCGAAAGTTGCTTAACGACAACGATCACGGGCCGCGGCGCTAATCCACTACGCCACCGAGCTACTATCGTTATACGCAAATCCTGAATCTAAGGTGAACTTTGGGAATCGTAATCATGCCTAAAGTGTAAAAACATATAAGTGTTGTACTAATGCTTCGTTATCACGCACTTTTATTGGACCAGAATAAGCACTTGGACCATCATCATCATCATCAACCCTTTTACGTCCCCACTGCAGGGGCTCAGGCCTTCCTTATGGATGGTTAAGGAGGATGGGTCACGACCCTCCACGCTGGCCCAATGCGGATTGGAGGGTGCACTTGGATCAGGATATATTACTCGGTTTATTGATTCGAGTGATATTCAGGGCTAGTAAATCCACGAGTGTTATATCATCACAGTTTCAGTTTATCATAAGATAAATTATCTAGTCCAGTAATTACGATCTTAAATATCCTTGACCTCGAATTAAAAGAAAATATAGATGTATATAGGTAAATTTTTTTCAACCCCAAAGATCAGTTAATCATATTATTGGTGTTGTGTATTAAATCTTAATCCAAAATATCTCACAAAAATGCTTTAGAATACAAGATTATTTGACCATTAATGTTTATTAACAGTGATAATTCTATTAAATAAAATATCTGTTGATTCTGTGTGAGCTTAAAGTCCAGAGCGACCTTTTAAAAGGAAGGAAAAGATTTTAATAAAACCCAAAATTTGAATAGTTATTTTATTAATGCGTTCCTAGTATTTCTTTTTTTCGACATAACAAAATTTAGTTTCTTAACTGAAATCTAAAGAAAATAAATAAGACTTAATGAATTAACCTGAATATTGGAATTTAAATATTCTTTATTCAATTGAAATTCTTAAAGGAGCATTTTGGAATCGTCTTACACCTTTACCTATCACACATTCAGATGTCTTTTGGCTGACGAGAAGAATGAGCACCGAAAATTTGTCCGCAAAACATTTATATTTGTATTTCTTTTCAGTTTGTGGAGTTGTTTGCTTCTTGTTGCCGAGAGACGCGAAACCGCCTTCAAATAAATGTACTGAAACTTGACACTATAGTTAAATTACTTTGAAGACTGTACATTCAATTGTTTTGTATATTATGTGTGTGAAGTAGAGATACGTACGAATAACAATAGTATATAAGTAAGAATAATAGAATACGTTAAATATTTTTTTAAGTTTTGATGGTTTTTATTATTAAGGTGTACTTAATTCTTGATAAATATTTTATTTGTCAGTTATTGATCAATATACGCATTCTTTTAAAAATATAGCTGTATTATTTTACAACCTTTTCACATATTATCCTCTGTTAATCTAGTTGAGCTAAATTTATTTAAATTTAGTATTCACGCTTGTCCGATATTACATATTGTAATTGTGATTCATAAGTATTATAAAATGATAAACTCAACACATTAAATACTTCGATCACAATATTTTCTATTTCGCCGTATTTAAATGTAATCTTCTTTCCAAATTCATAAGAATTATTCTAAAATATATAATCATAAAATAAAGAAGCAGTCTGGCTACTCGTATTCAAAGAGGAACCGCTATTAGCAGCCTTCCGGATAACGCAAAGATTTGAGTGATAGTTTTTATCTGGTACAGTTTTAGTTTTATATATGCTAAGATATATTTTCTTATTATTATTAATTGACTACCTATTACTTTTTGTTTTTTAATAAGGTATTGTTATTCAGATGTAATATCATAATCACAAGAATACTGATGACGTCTAGCAATGTACTAAATCTATCAAGTTATTAAGGAAATCTTGTAAAATTAAAAATTCGTTTCAATCTTTTAATAATTGATAAGTTTATGCTTATGCTCACTAGAATAACTTGATCAATTATAAAATTTCTCTCACGTATATTTAATTCTAAATATAAGTCATTGTTGTATACATAAAATGCCATAATTTGAAATAAATGCTTTAGAAATGAAGAATAAAACAAATTTGGGCAATCGGTAATACCGTAAAGCTATTGTGTATTAGAGCAATCGCGTCTAAAGGATATATTGCTGTAGCTCCTACGGCGTGTCAGGCCAACCTAAATATAAGATGAAAACGCGAGTGCCATTATTAATATAGAGAAGGTAATGAGATAAAAACAAGTAATTATTATTCAGTAATAGTTATTGTGCAAAATTATTCATCTGTTTACACAAGAACAGATTGATAACTGGTCATGATTTTATATAACAGTTTGATACACTCAGCGCACAGTTGTATCACAGCGATGATGGCGAGAAGAAACCTATTACTTTGAATATATGTATTTATTATATGTGTTTTCATAAGTTAAGGAATTATTGTGTTTTTTTTTGGAAAGTGAACTTATGAATGGTTATTCATCATGCTGATAAAACTCGAAAAGGTCTCCTTCGAGGTGGCACTCAATTTAACGGGTAAGTTTAAGTGTAATTAGATAGTTGAAAAGAAATCTATTTTTTTTCTGATGAAAAATTTACACTAGTGATGCCGATTAATTTTTGTTCGTTCGACCCTCAGGTGAATTAGTGAACAACATTAAACACGTATCTTTTTTAATTGTAATTTGCGTCACGCTTTTGTACATTTTCTACAAAACTGTGACGTAGCGAGCCCCCACTCCTTAACTTTAATTCATATTATCTAAGCCGTTTCTTGTTGAATTGAAGCAATAAAATACGTATCTAATATTTTTCTATTATCTGACAGACGGACTTAATATATATTTATTTTAACCCCCTTAATATATATGGTGACTATATATATATTTTTAAATTTCCATAATAGAAAGGATATATCTAACTTGTAAATATCATCATCATCAGCCTACTAATGTCTCCAATGCTGTAGCTTAGGCTTTTTTAATTGATGGAATCAGATAGGGAGGATGACTTACTCACTATGTAGGTTGAAAGCGGATTGGTGGGAATTAGCGAAATCAAGCTCAGGCTGGATCAATGGCTTAACGTGCCTTCCGATACACACTCAAGAAAATAACTTTTGATCACCCATTCAATATCCAACCATGCGAGTTCACTTTCTCATCGCAGATCAAACGCGATAACCACTGCGCTGAAGAGCTTTCCAGAGCCATGGTTTGTTCAGATATGGAATATAAGTATAATATGTGAAAAGATATGAGAAGACATGATGGTATTGATGTTTTTAGGATATTAATCGTGCTGTTCAAATCAATAACATTTATTCAGTCTAGGGTGTTACAAGCACTTGTAGAAGTCGAAAACTATGCCATTAGTTCATACATCTACGGTGAGAAACCTTGTACCGAGAAAAATCGGCAAGAAACTCAGCAAGGGCTACTTTTTTCGCCCTGTTTTATTTCATACAGAGATGTCAAATTAAAATCAATGAGTGACTTGATTAGAATATGAAGTCACTTTCTATTACGTAAAAGATTACAAAAAAATGTTATTAAAAATGTCGCGTCATACAAATTCATTCTCTTAATATAAAATGCTGTTATAAATAATTTAAATCAATTAAATCCTGCTAGGTTTCGGCAAATTCAACATTCTCTCGTTCCTACTGTGCAGCAGTATCATCATGGGCATGGCGTTTGAGTTGTTCTCTGTCGCATACCTGGTGCCAGGTAGTGCATGTGAACTCTTAACCACCAGCAACCAGCAAGGATTGATGGCTGCTGTCCCTCTTATTGGTGAGTACATACGCGGATAATTTGTCGATATTTAAAACACTTTTTGTGCACAGGGGAAATGCGGCTTATGTCTGAAACAAATCTGATCTAATTCCGAAACATGGAATATGAAAATTTAGTTGTAATTGTATTTTTATTTTCTATAGTTGTGAAGTTCCACCATCGAACTATCCAATGTCGCATTATTATTTAACGAATTTCAAATTCACAATGCTATGTTAATATTTATTTCATCAAATACCAAAAAAAAAAAAACAACAATTCTGTTAACAAACTGTTCATAATACTATTTACCCATATTTTTATAATGTTATAATCTTAAGTAATTTAGCCAAGAAAGGGGCCTGCAGTTTGTCATCAGGCACTATAGGTTGGATCATGTTGTAGCTTTTGTGAAAATTTGCTTCTGACATTACAAACAGAAACTAAAAATTGGTTATCAGCGCTTTCTCATCGCCTAAATATTTCAACGACGTTATTATCAATAGAGTGTACTCAAAGGCTCGATTTTGGGTCCTATGCTGTTTCTTCTTATCGCAGTCTTATATTAGTAGCTGTGTTCGGAATGTAACATGGAAGTCGTCGAAATTTTTTTTTCATTTCAAATAGTAGCAGCAACAGAAATATTTTCAATAGTACTTTCATTCATACTATCTTTTCAAGACTCTAATAGCTGTTTAGAAGAATGGGTGTGAGAAATTTCACAACATTTAAAAACAACACAATTAAATTACAATATAAATATTTGAAACAAAATTAGTAGCTATATAAATCATATAAGCAAATAGAAACGGATACGGAATTACTTCAGAGCAAACAACTTATATTATGATAAGATTATATTGATTGTTTAGAATGTACCGTTGAATATTGCTTGGTATTTTATTGTAGAACCTAACATTAGAAAAGGCGACGGTAATTTATTTCTTGATTCCTTTTTTTTAAATAATGCAGACATTTCCTAACACAATCGAAGTTCTAGTAATAGAGTAATTATATCTATTTCTTATATTTTTTTCTTCAATGTGTCTGTAATAAGAAATTACTTATTCCATTGCATTATAAATTTCCTATTATATGCCGATGACCTTAAAATTTAATCGCAACATCATAAACGCTAATAATAATTATCTGCAATTGTACGGATAATTACATCGTGTTTTGGAGACAAGAAAGCGAAAGAAGTATGTAAGGACCCTTTGTGGCGTCCAAACTCTTTTTTTATAAAATATAGACTGATCATGAGGAAGGTAAGGCCTCTTGCCCCACCCTCAACCCTCACTTGAAGATATATGATGTAATAAAATAAAATATTATATAAAATAGTAGAGTGTTGTTGCCAGAGTTACCGCAGATTTATTTTTGAAATGAAATTCATTTTATTTATAGAGTTTTGCTTTACTTTTATCTTAAAATTATAGGTACAGCCATAATACCTACATAGAATTATTTCTATGTAGGTATTCTCATCCATAAATAAATTCTATCTGTCTTGTGGCTGTACCTATAATTTTAGGCTAATTATTTAGCTATTGTGTTTTCGGTTAGTCTATCTATTGGCCCTGGGGGCCAATTCTACTAAATAAATTTTGTTTAAATCGAATCGAAAACGGATCGAAACCGAACGAAACTACAGTTTTTAATGGTTATCCTGTGACATACGATACAATCCCAGTTCTGTTTTAGCTGGAATTGTATCGTATATCACTTAGTAGAATAGAAAAACCATTAAAAACTGTAGTTTCGTTTGGTATCGATCCGTTTTCGATCCGATTTAAACAAAATTTATTTAATAGAATTGGCCCCCTGAAGTATTTCTCCCAATTAATATATAACTATGAATCACTAATATTTTAGTAACCTTAGTTAAAAAAATATATAATATATAAATATATAAATTAAAAAAATGTTATGTTATAATCAGTATTTAACACATTATTTTGATTGGACTTTTTTTGCATTTAGTGCTGTACTGATTAATGTTTTGTCATGGGTCGTGGGTTCAAGTCCCAGCTCGGGGTACCTGGTGCTGGTGGTTTTTTAAGGATTTTTCATTTAATACTTTTCTTTCTGAATAAAAATATACCTATTATAAAGTTATAAAGTATATTGGTTGACCAAATAGAATTATTTCATTATTTTAGATAATTCATTTGGTTACTTTAAGTTTCAAAATGCTTTTATATCTATCTATTTAGATTAATAATTATGTTTTTTTTAATCAGGTGTAATTGCGACATCCCACTTTTGGGGCTATCTAGCCGACACCAGAGGAAGAAGAAAGGTGCTTTGCTTTTCAATGACTCTCGGATTCTTTACCGGGGGTTTAGCTGCTCTGTCACCAGACTGGATTACATTTAGCATATTTAAATTTATGTCTTCAAGCGCGTGAGTTATTTAAAAATATATCTTTAATATAAATGAAAATGAATCATCATCATCAGCCAAATAATGTTCCTGCTGCTGGAGCATAGACCTGCAATTTAGATAGATTCCTAAAATAGGTACCAGCTATAACCCACCACACAGGTCCATGACTGATTTGTGCGTGCTAACTACTGCAGATGCAGCGGAGATCAATAGCTTAACGAGCCTTCCGATGTATGGAGGAGCTCGACAAAATATGTTTTGGGCATCAATTTGATAACTGGCCTTTGCAAAAGTTGCTTTACATCCGCAGTTGCAAACATATTAACTATTGCGCCATCGAGCGCATAAAACAGAATCATTACAGGATGAGCGGATGAACAAGCAGATAGACAGAAAAGGCATATTGATAGGATCCTATTGGAATCGATTAAGTACCCTCAATTCAAATGTACACCCGGCTGCACGTCAGGTTACCACAATGTGTCAAATTTCTGCAATGGATTTTACCTCGACAGTCAATGAAATAATACGATTTAAATAATTTATGAATAGTCTGACGCGCTATTGATTATACCTTATAAGGTTATTTATCCAAAAGGAAAAATTGAAAACCAAATTATTTTTATTTTGGTAAAATGAGTTCATACTGTTATTAATATAAAAATAAACAATTAATACGTTACGATTTGTTTCAAAACGGTTTCAGCTCAGCGTTTGCTGGTCTTGCGATAAACGCCGAATTTCACCTGACACCGGTTTGGTGACATCATAGTTATCTACTGATTAATCATTTTAGGACCAGAGTAATACCCATCTGTGATTATTTGCAGCGTGTCTGGAGCATTCGCTTTATCCATGACGTTACTGAGTGAAATCACTCCAGAGGCGAAGAGGTCTAACCTTATTATTCTGACTTCATCCGTTTTTCTATGCTGCAGTGGTCTTATGGCGAGTGAGTATAATTAATGTAACTTAGCGATTGAATGAGAATTAGAAAAGTTGTTGCGTTTGAACGAGCAAATGATGATTATGTGGTTATCCTTTCTAAATTTCTAGTAATGTAGCATACTAAGTTTTAATTATAAAACTAAAACTCGATTACGTGTATTTCACCAAACATACCACACGACGACGTATCATAAATAAATAAATATTTATAAATAATAGAAATAAATAAATATTAGACAACATCACATACATTGCTCAGATTCCAAGATGAGTAGCTAAAGCGCCCGTATTATGGAGTATCTGAGACAACGAAGGTACCACAACACCCAGACCCGAGTCAATATAGAAAAGTTCATTTTCTACATTGACCCGACCGGGAATCGAACCCGGGACCTTAGAGATGGCGACACCTTGAAACCGGCGTACGAACCACTCGGCGGAGGTAAAGACAATAGTATCACAAGACTCGATCTCGAAATGATACCGTCATATATATATATATATATATATATATATATATATATATATATAAAATAAGGATATATATATCCTTATTTTATATTTTCTAATATTGTGATGGGAAGTGACTTCATATTTTAATGAAGTCATTTTACAATCTTGGTGACTCCGTATAAAATAAAACAGGGAGAAAAAAGGAGCCCTTGCCGAGTTTCTTGCCGGTTCTTCTCGGTACGAGGTCTCCCGCTGAGATTTACAAGCCAATGGCATAGTTTCGACTTTCACAAGTGCTTGTAACAGTAGAATGAACTAATGATTTGATTTAAAGTTTGGAAAAGTACAGTCAAATGCATTTTATTTTATAAATGTTCATATAATGTGCTTTAATGTAAAATGTATCTATGCGTTCATTAATAGTGCTTCTGCAATATAAAGTTATCTTTATTTAATAATTCATATTGTTGCTGCATTAATTACAGCTCACACTCATTCATTGTCTTAATGTTTGTTAATAATTTGACTATTTATTTAGAGGGTACATAATTATAAGCACTTTTACGATTTGTTGTTTCTAATGAATAAGTAAATTATTTTTAAATAGTTGACATTGAATACTAACCTGTGTGCTATCTGTATCCTGAAATCTGTTTATATTCATTATTAATCTTTATAGATAACAAATCACAATTCTTCATGCAGACCTTGTTCTGGTATAAGCTATTTATGTATGCGAAATTGTTATATAACGTCCCATAATTTATTTAATGTAATAACATGTACAGTCAGTAGTAAATCAAATCAAATCAAAATTGTTTATTCAGTTAAGAATTTTACAGAGCACTTGTGAAAGTTGAAAATTACTCCATCGGTTCGCAAAACTACGGTGGTAGACCTTGTACTGAGAAGATTCGGCAAGAAACTCAGCAAGGGTTGTTTTTTGCTCCCTGTTTTATTTCACACAGAGTAGTCTTATTGAAAAGTGACTTCATTAAAATATGAAGTCACTTTCCATTACAATATTAGAAAGTTAAATACAATAAAGTTTAAATATCTAACACCATACCTTTTTGTCATTTAGATATTCCTTAACGGTATAATATCCTTTACTTTGTAGACAATTTTTAATACGACTTTTAAAATGATTTATTAGCAAGTCTAATACATCACTGGGGATCTTGTTAAAGTACTGTATACCTTGACGCCAGGCTATACAAAATTGTCAAATTTCTTCACTTGATTTTAAACCTTAATTTTTTAGGGTAAAGCACAAATTAACTTGCGAAAATTTGATATATTTTGGTTGCCTGACGTGCAGCCGTGTGTACATATATGTAACTGTAGATTGACAATGTTTTATATTCTTTTTTAGTCATCACTATACCTGTGCTGCCATTAGAGTTTTCTTACTACGTGCCAGTACTGAACATCTACTTTAACTCCTGGCGGGTCTTGAACCTTATCTTCAGCATGCCTTGCGCCATCAGTGCCATTGGTCTATTCTACTCATACGAGAGCCCGAAGTTTCTATTAAGTGTCGGCAGAGAAAGTGAGGCCATGAAGATTATGGAAACTGTTTTCGTCATCAATAACAACGAGAGCAAAGAACATTATCCCGTTAGTATAAAATTGTGTGTGTTTCTACAATACATGAACGTTCCAAACGATACAAAAAAGTTCTTGGATCTGCAGGTCAATTCTACTGTTTCAACAATAACCGCACCTCAATAGAACTTCGACTAGTTGCATTTCACCATTGTGTTATCAACCTGAGGTCGAATAGTTGAGAAGTAGTTGAGATTCCATTGAACTATCTGAACGTCTAAAATTATCAAGACAAATACAAAGGAGATTTCTAATCTGCTTCAAGAAATGTGGCATTTGTCGATCATCATCATCAGCCCTTTTTTTACGTCCCCACTGCAGGGGCTCAGGCCTTCCTTATGGATGGTTAAGGAGGATGGGCCATGACCCTCCACGCTGGCCCAATGCGTATTGGAAGGTGTTAACGACTGCAAATGCAACCGGGACCAACGGTTTAACGTGCCTTCCGAAGCACGAAGTAGCTCGAGATAATAATTTTTTGGTCACCCATCCTGTGACCGACCCTTGCGAAAGTTGCTTAACAACAATGATCGCAGGCCGCGGCGCTTATTCTTTACGCCACCGAGCTACTTATTTACGAGCTACGCATTTGTCGATGTCAATCAATATCTCCGTATTACTTAAAATCCTTATTGAGTAAGAAGTAAGAGGTGATAGATTGTATATAGTATAATAGTATATCGACTTTAATTTTCAGGTAAAGTCGATGGTTCTCGATGAGTATAATGTGACACCTACCGCCAAAGGATTTTTCGCATCTATGAAGAGTCAAACTGTACCTTTGTTTAAGCCTCCTCTATTGAAGAATACAATATTATTAGCATTTACATTCATAATTGTTTATATTTGGTGAGTATTAAGTTTGATAATAAGCACAAACAAAGTCTTGTTATTCGTACGTCCTTCGCAGTAATTGACGCTCAGAAAACAGTCTAACTAAAGGAAAGATACATCTATTACAACGTAAAGTAAGTGTTCATCTGAGTTACTTCGTTAAGTTATGCAAGTTTGAGGCGAAAAATACTTAAAATAGCTTTTTACAAATCTAATTATATATATCCGATTTCAAAAGTTCTTGAAAACTTTAAAATATAATGGATACGTTAATTTTAAAGTTTATCATAAAACTTACCGAGAATATTAAATATCGGATAACACTGAATACTTGTCTCATTTCTAGTACATATAAAACACATAAAAGTCTTTTGTATCATGTGAAAAATCGCATTCATTACCGTACATACTAACTCGTAGAGTTCGAACTCGGTCTTAGGTAGCTCAATTTGTTAGAACAATTACTCGGATTGCGAAGGGCTATGAGTTCGAAGTCCACTTCGAGCACCTTGGAAGCGTTAATCACTTTTTATTGTAATTGATCAAATACAAAAAGTATATATTCTCTTTAAATATAATCTCAATAAAGAAGTTAGAACTATATTAGAAATTAATTGGTTTTAGTATGCATCCACACATGGTATGGCTGCCTTATATGACAGACGGCTTCATGAACTCTGTCGAGAGAGGAGACGAGGGAGTTAATTTCTGTCAGAGGCTGAGAAACTCACAAAACGTTAGCGTGATTCTGGTAATAATTGAATTTTCATAAAAAAACCTTTACCTCTTTAGTGGATTAAAGTTAATATATTTACTATTTATAAGACCTAAGTCTCTTCCTTGAAAGATTGTTCCTCAGCTAGTTGTCTTTCATTTTGTCATTTTAAATTAGAATTAGATCTACGAGTAGCTTTCCGCCAGCGGGTTTCCACGCGTGTTTTAAATTACTACTTGACGATACTTTTATCCCTAGGGAATGATTTTGTTTGATAGAAAATTGCGTCTATGTTAATCACGATTGGAAATTATCTATACAGGTACCAAACATCAAGAACCATCTAGTAGATTTTGCATGAAAAAGTGACAGACATCCAAACTTTTACCTTTATTATATAAGTAAGATACCTATTTTGAAACTCAAGTACCGAGTTATCGCAAAGGAAAATCTTAGACAATACATTCACAATATTTATTTTATTTAGTTTCTGTACAAAATTACTAGTATTATAAATTTGCCGTCAGAAGTCAGCGACGCGCTTGATAGATTTCTTATCAAAAACGTGAGCTCTTTTATAACAAACCCTTGTACGTTAATATTAGTGTACGGTATTAAATAAGATTACAATTTATTTGATATTGCTTATCGTTATGTTGACGCATCTGTTGTGTTATTACCCACTGGCTGTTTTCCTGCAACTTTGCCTACGTAATTAACCTATGTCACCCACGTAAGTTGTAGCTTCCCGTAACTGAAATACTTACACAATGTTCCCACTGTTGGGACACAAGCCTTCTCTTTACATAAAATCGAATAGGATTGACCCATCAACACCTCTTGGGGACAGTGTGGATTGGTGGGTGTTAGCGACTGCAGAAGCGGCTGGGACCACCAGTCTAACGTACCAGAGCACAGAGTTCAAAATAATTAATTTTAGTCGCCCATCCTTGCCCGGCTCTTGCAAAAGTGGCTTAAATTCCACGCAGTAGCAGAAGCCTTTGGTCTACAAAAGCTTCTGCTACTGCGCCATGGAGCTCCATGCTCCATTGATAAGCTACCTTCAAAAATATATTGTTTTAGACAGAGGATGGTTGTGCTATGAATGAGTTTGCACTGACCATGGTCTTCGCTGTGTCGGTCCTGTTAGCTGTCGTCAATACTATCGTCAGCACTATCATCAACATCTTCGGCCGGAAGCGTTTATTCATCTTTATCCAGGTTAATATAAATTGTTTTACTTCCAGAAATATATAAGCAATGTAGCGTTGAATTCCAACTAATTCCTTGTAAAATTAACA